AACGAAAGTTGTGAATACTAGTTAATCTCTTAATTAAAGGAGTTACCTTTTCCTCCATAGAATATATATATATATATATATATATATATATATATATATATATATATATATATATATATATATATATATATAAAGGCCATTTTAGTCTGAGCAGTACTCATTAATCAGCTTGTTTCTATGACACCTCTTGTCTTGAAGTTGAATAGGCAAAGCATGATAGCCAAACTTGTACTTCCAAAGCTGTGTTTTCTGCTTTTGTTTGTGGACGCTAATGCTCTAACAGAATCCTGCCTTTGAATGTGCCTTCTGTCTCCTGTTTATGAAATTCCCTCAGTGGAAGTGCAGTGAGGGAGATGCACATTTTGTAATGATTTGCCATTGTAGAAGAGCACAATCGGGAGCTTCCTGGGAACGACAGTCGAGGGAGAGGCCAGAGACCTTGAGGCAGACCGCCATGGCCAGTGGCTCAGGCGCAGGAGGCTGGACGGGGCGCTCAACCGAGTGCCACTCAATTTCTACCCAAGGATCTGGAAGATTCTAGAGAAGGTAAGTAGTTGTTTTTTTTAATTATTTATGATATCTTTGTAAGCTGAGCACTTATGCAAACATCCACACACACTCACACACCTGCATGTGCACACACACACACACACACACACACACACACACACACACACACACACACACACACACACACACACACACACACACACACACACACACACACACACACACACACACACACTTCCATACTTAGATATATACATACAGCACACACACATGCACACACACACACACCGCTGACACACTTCCCTACTTAGATATATACATACAGCAGTATAGATATGTGTTTGTATATGAACATGATTTTATTTCATATCTGTACATGTTTGATATACTAATTAATCTGTATTTTCTTCTTTTTCCAGTGTCAGGGCATTAACATTGAAGGCAAAGTTATCCCACAGAGTCTCACTCAGGAGGTCAGTATATACAGCCTTTTGTTTAAGAAACTTTAGGTAGAATGCAATTTGTGTCCTGCTTTCACCTTTTCACCTCTCATCTTTCAGATTGCAAGATTATATGTCAGATTATATGAATATAAGAGGCATGAAAATGCTTTTGCAGTACCATTTGGAATCAGGCAACATTAGTTGATTTTCCCTTGTGCAAGAAACCGGAAACATCATAAAGATAATTTCCCGGTGAATTTCACACAAAAAATTAATTGAGATTAAGGTAGATGAAAAGCCTTGCTCTTTCTTGTGATAAACATTAATGTGTATTTCTCCTGTTCCATGAGATTAAGTAAATGGGAGTTTCCTCATTCCAGATGACAGCAGGAGAACTGAAGTTTGCCTTAGAGGTGGAGACTGTGCTCAACACCATTCCTCAACCTGAGTACCGTCAGCTGGTTGTGGAGGCAAGTCACCTGACAAAATCATTGTGTTTTAATCTCTTGGGTTTCCTTTGCTGGGCTTTCACTCCCTTTGAATCTTGGGTGTAAAAGTTCAAGGAGTTCATTATAAAAGTGTTGTTTAGATTTGCAATATATATATATATGTTTATGTATATATATATATATATATATATATATATATATATATATATATATATATATATATATATATATATATATATATATATATATATATATCTGTGTGTGTGTATGTGTGTATGTATGTATGTATGAATGTGTACTGAAAAAAATTGAGATGGTTTGTTGCTAACCATGACAAAGTCCATACAAGGTTCTTGTTCTGCAGGCATTGATGGTGTTATCACTTGTCCGGGAGTACCACCAGACAGGCTGGCTTGGGGACATTGTATCAGCTCAGGACATTGTCCATCTAGCAAACAATATTTTCCTACAGGACCAGGTAAGTTAGTAGAATCTTTATCATAGGAATCTCTTGGCATATACAAAGAGAAAAATTATGAAATCGCTTATAATGCCTCTTATTATGAAAGTATTATCCTCACTATTACCTTCCTGTTGTTGTGAATCCACAGAAACAAGAAGGGGGCGATGCAACGACCTGCTGTGCAAGGGATAAGAAAGAACCAGGTATTGGAGGTGGCTTGACATGTGGAGGAGCTGCCTACATCTGCATCCACTTTTATGACAGCGCTCCATCTGGCAAGTTTGGCACTATGTCATACATGATTCGAGCAGTTTGTTGCAACCTGAATTGCTTCCCACAAGATGGTGAGATGGACTGCACAGTCAGTTGAGCCAGTTCAATAAGAGCAACAAAAGTAATAAGAGTAATTATGCAGTTACTGTAGTCAAATATATAGTGGGTGAAATTTTATTTCAATGTAATTCCCATGAATTTGTAATGCTCTCTTTATTATCAGTTGTGCAAGTTTAAATGCTAAAATCAGGAAGTTAAAGACAATTAATTTCTCAGTACAAAAGATGGTGCATAAGCATTTTCCTTTATCTTTTTTATAAAGCAACAACAGTGCATGGCAGTGCCAGCTACTGCCTTGACAAAGCCTTGCACTTCTGAAGAATTACATTGCCACTGAAATTGTTTGTGGAAATCCTTTAGAGTTGTTCAAGGCGTGTGAATCCATTGTTATTTCTCCTATGGTGACGTTGACCATTTCTGTTAATATCAGTTATGTTCGACTAAATGAAACTATAATCTCATTCGTAGTGCCATAAAATATCAGAGATGAGTTTGCTCTAACTGTGCAAACTATTTCTTTGCAAAAGTTGGTATGTTAATTAAACCCTTTTATTGCTTCATTTGACATTTGATGTGTCCACAGCTTGTCATATATAGTCATTTTTTTTCCCCATTTCCTCATATTCAAAATGTATAACAACACTTATTCACCAGTTCTTTTATGTGATTGCATATCCATGAAAGTCATTTTACTTTCTACACAGGACATATCATTTCACTTACACTCCAGATTTGTTCATCTCGGCCTCTGATTCTGATTTAGGTCTCATGTAGTTGTATCCTTTTGTTTCCCCTTTTTGACACTGTTGAATTAAGTGCCATTATTTTATGCAAAGTTTGAGTGTGATCCTGTTGTATGTACCAGGACGGCAAGTTACAAAACTTACCACATGTGTTCCAAATATACAAATAAGGTGCAAATATGAATTGGTAATGTTCATTTTACATATTTATACATTATATATACATATATATTTATGTGTTTCTGTAGCCACATGAACTTCATATTTGAAAATATTGTATCTAACAAGGCCAGTCATTACCATATATGTAAGCTCTTAAAGTCTTTAACAATGTCACCAGTGGTCAGAAGCTCAAAAGATATCTTTGGCATGTTCTCATTACTCACATATGCTGAAAATCTACATGAAGTACTTGTTGTGGAATATTCAGTAAAAGTAAACCATGGACTGTAACTTCATATAGCACATTGTAAACATCTGAAGACTTCAAACTATGAACGAGTGGTTTTGTTAACATTCATTTTAATTGTTACTGAAGAATATGATCACTTCATGTACATTTTATTCATTTGATTAAACCAAAGAAATATAACATCACTGTTAAATAAGACACTGGTGCACATGATAATAATAGTAATGAAAAGACATTTCTTTTGATATTTATACTTTTTATAACAGAGAATGTACACAAATCAAATATATACTTATGACGAAAGCTATGATCTTACTAAAATTAATTTTGTTTCCCAAAAATTCATCATTATCTTTTATGTAAAGAAAAAGTAATTTGAACTATGAAAATACAATTTCTCATATATTATCTGGATTAAATAGCAAAACAAATCAAAGGCAGATGTGCACAATTATACACATTAATGGTTGTTTTTAGAGACAAATGTCGTAGTCGTAATCAGTTAGCAGAGATCATTTTTAGATTCTCAAATTATTTATTTGCCACATATGGAGTTTTTGTAGAGTTTAGGTACTATATTTTTCTGTCAGAATGACACTATGGTTATAATCTTTATCTCTCATTTTGCTTTTATAGAATATTGTCATCTGTTGAATCTGTAAATGTATCGATTTAAATCTGTAATTTGATATTTTGTTATTATGAGAGTGACCTTATTAGCTTGCTTTGAATACTTTACCTGTGTCCATAATTTCTATGCGAGATTTATTATAATTGATGTTTTGTAAAGTATTGAAAGTTATATTATATATCCCTGTGATTTATAGTGATGTATAAGTGAAATTATATGCTTAGATAATTAAACAAATAATAAAATACAAAAAAAGATGGTCTACAGCATCTGTTACAGATGCCTCTTGTCATTGATTGCAAATTGAAAATGGAACTCCAGTTAATTTTGAAATCCAAAGGAAAGAAGTACCGCAGACAGCTGACTACCTCTGTCATGTATTGTATGAGTACTAGTCCTTAGGTCCTTAGGAGTGGTCTCTTAGCCAGTTTCAAAAGAGCAGTTACTTTATTTTGGACTCGGTTATTAATATTTTGGGCGCTTATTACATTTCTCAAAAATAAGTTCCTAGATCCAGCAGTCCTTGCCTTCTTAATGCTGATGCTTGACTACAAAGTATATAGATCAAATGCCTTTATTTATGAAAAGCAGTTCACTGCATTATACTGTGCACACTTTACATACTGTTGTAAAGAGAAAATTAAACATTCAGTGAAAAGACCCGTGATTGAGGGGCAAGCTGGGCCTAAGAAGGGGTAGGAAGAGATCATGAAATCAGTATTGAATTTTTCATTGTGTAAATTTTCACGGAATAGGACATCATTGAAACAAGTTAAAGCTTGATATATAATGCTATCAACTATCACTTATTTTTATTATTATTATCATTATTAAGCTTTCTCTATTTTTGAGGAGTCTAAATAGAAAAGGTTCTTATAGGTAATAGATTGTTGAGGTGTTCCATATTAGGTCAAGAAAATTAGCTGCTTCCCGTGCTGTGCATTGCCAGTAGGGCATTTAATTATCCCTATGTGATAAGGCTTTCATGAATAATAAAAAATATCTAAAAAAGAAAATGTTTTCTTCTGCCTCAAATAAGAAGCAAAGGTACACTTCTAGGTAAAAAATGCTACATGCAGTGGTGAATGGCTACGTTAGTGCTCATAGTAGCCATACTTTAAGAATCCAAGATTGCTCTTGCTCCTACTGATAAAATTAGTTTGAAACTCCAAAAGAGGCCAATTCATTTTGTAATAAATATTTACAGTAGCACACTATTTTCACTTCAATTGCCCCACAAGAACATTTGGATTTTAAGAAGTCTTAGTCATATAATTTAATTTTGCAGTTACTACACTCACTGCAATGAATATATTCCATTTTGTGATGTTCTTTGCATTGGAACACATCTTCCCTCCCTACTTTAACCCAATGCTGATGGGTTAAGAAAATAAATTAAAATTCTACACTCTGGAAATTAATTGCAACAAGTAGAGTTTGGGCGCAGGAGTCCTGCTCCAAGCGCTCTGGTGCGTTGCCATGGCGTACAGTCGTATACTGCAGACAAAGTGGTTTGTTAAGACGCCACTAGGCATGACCCGTCAGTATGGGGTTAACCTTCACCATGTTCTTGGACTCCAAAACTCATTATTTCTTACATAATCTATTGCCTGTCAACCCTCTTTTCTGCAAAATTCAGAACCAACTATTTCATCTAAACATAAAATACAAAACTATCAGTTTTTGCTGGATGCCCAGCCACATTGAGATCCCCGGCAATGGACAGGCAGGTACACTTGCACACTCAGATTTTCACATATACTAGCCTCTGACTACTACCCTCACTTCAGACCTTCCTCCTCCCCTGCTGGCAGTCTTTCTAGTCCAGCCTTACCACTAATAAACTACAAAATATAAAACCTTCCATCTTCCCTTGGACCATTCCATAAGAATAGATGCTTTTGTCCACTTACGCATTGGACTCACTTGCCTCACACATTCTTATCTCGTGTCATAATCTGATCCACCTCTAAGCTCCTATGGCAATGTTCCTCTTTCAGTCCCAAATATCCTACTGCCCTGTCCACACTTTTCCCTCGAGTACTGTTTAAACCTTTAACTTTAGCCTAACCATTAACAAATTCCTAACCCTTTTTGCTACTATACTTACCATAATGCTTTATGACCTTGATTTCTTGCACATTTATTTGTATTAAGTATTAACCATTAACCATTCTGTATGTCTGCAGATTGGTACTGCATTTGTACATGGTAACTGGACATAACAAAATCATAGGCAATATAACAGTTCTTTTTATTTCTTTCAGTGAAATATTATACACATTAGCATTTCACAAAGAACAATATAGACAACATACAATTACCTAAATATTATTAAGCTCAATATATGTACAAGTATTAAAAAAAAAAAGAACAAATTGGTTATTCTAACTATGAGAGTCAACAATCTCTCCGAATAAATGATGTTATTGTTTTGTCTTTTGTTTCACTGACGTCTGTGAGGTATTGAAGAGAATGAAGAGAAGAGCCGCAGAAAATCTTGCTTCGAGATCATACTGGTCAAGATCATGTGCCCATTCCACTGAGCCCCAACGGGATGTCTGATGGAGGAAAAAAGAATTGCCTTAAGAAAAGTACTAATCCTCAGCCCCACTTTCACTGTATGAGTCATCCAGATACTGAAAATCTGCTATAACAAAATACTGTAAATATATTATAACTATCACTATAGCAGGTGACCATAGTAAACTGACATTTGTATAATCCTGTAAAGACCCAAATATACATATATTGCCAGTCATTTATAAAATTCATGAAAGTAAGTTCTGGTATATTTGATTTAGATTTGCTTAATTAAACAAAATGTAAGTAGGCAACCTTTCATTATAAACAGAAACAACTGACTGAACAACCACTTTTTGTGATGATGGTTCAGCAGTCACCAACAGGAAAACAAGTACAGCAACAAATAACTTTGAACATAATTTGCTAAGTAAATAAAAAATTGTTAGCTGCAAGGCCCCCTTTGAACATTACCTTTACTCATTCGCTGGTAAAAATCTTCAATTCTATAAGCTTTATTTTGCTGAATAGATACAGAGAAGCATAGGCAGACTCAACTTACCTGGTACTGTAGTTCTAGCCTAGAGAGTGCAACAGCCTTTTCAGCTGTTAACCTTCGCTCTGCAGCTGCCACAGTTAAAATCACAGATTTCAATGCCTCCACACCGTAGAGAAATCCTGTTGATGTAAACAGGCATTGTCATAATACATAATGGACAACAGTTTCAGAAATTCAACAGAAAACTTACTTAACTCTTTTTTATGTTTTATAACAAGTAACAGACACACACACACACAAAAAAAATAATATTCACACAGAAAAAATATCATAAAAAGGGAGGGAGTACCATAAACAGTAGTCTTCTACTACACTGAGCTGTTTAAATAAGACTACGTTATCATATGCACAAAAACGCATTCCAAACACTCACCAGTGATGGCCCAAATGTCATAGGACAGGAGATATCGTCGGATGCTTTCCCTGGCTTGCAGAGGAATGTCCGCACCGCATATTCCAACTGCCGGCTGGAGGTCAATCTCAAACTTCTTATTAAACCATTCTAGAACAGGATCCCACTCTCTCCTCTGCAGCTCTAAAAGGTCATCTGTGGTCTGCAATGAATTGGCAATATCAATATCATTAATGTTGGGATAAAACCTTCTAGCATCATAATTACATTTCAGTCATTTTCATAACATGTCATTTATCTACAAAAAATTACAGATGTTCCAATACGTTTTACATTATCTCTGTCTTCATCTATCTTTCATATCTGACACAAATATTCACATAAATATGCTTCATACAAAAACATTAATTACTCTATGACCAGAAAATTGCAAATATTAACATAAACTTATCATGTATAAAAAAAATTAATACTTAATCTATAAGTTTATAAACAATTCTTAAGCATGCCTTGTACTGGTTTTGAATACAAATACATTCCCATACAATATATCCTTAGACAATGTTTTCCAAAGGCTAGAAACTACAGCCAAGTTCTATACAAACATGCTTTGTTCGACTATAGTCACTTTATGTAGCTAAAGTGGTTAGAATGCAAGGGATACTGAAAATCAATGTTCTACAAATGTATAATCTTATAAAAAAGTATTTAACAAAACTGTAAATACTCTATGTTTTAATTAATCTGCAAACTGCAAAGATCCCTACAATCACATTTTATCTTTGACATATTCCTTATCATTATTTACAAACAAAGTAGCTTTAACCAAATGCCAATGGTTATGGCATGTATGTACATGCCATGCCCACTGTGAGTTTACTTTATTAATTTTTACACACAGATGGCTGCACTTTTACTAAGGTCACCAATGAGCCAATTACGAGTACTGCTGGTCTCGCACATTTACCCTTTTCCTTGACAGAAGAAAATATTTTACATTATCTTATTTTGCTGTTAATAATGTTTATATTATGGTAATTATAATGTATAAAAAATAAAACCAACGATATTCATAGCATTAGTAAAAATACTTTTTTTTTCTGCCAATTCAAGGAAAGGTGAAGTCAGATACAAGGTCTACTAATTGACTCCCTTGTGGCTAAGTACTAGCAAAGCCATATATGTACAGAAACATTTTAAATGAGCACACCATTTTCCTGGTGGCATTGGGTTAATAATAAAGCACATTCCTCAAAACACAGACATATTCTTGGGCTAGTAAAAAATAAAAAGAGTATTGCAAACCAACAAATATCTATAAGAAAATATTACCTGTACCTACATACACCAGTACACACACTATCTTGAAGATATTTCCCTGAGAAAAAAACGCAATACAAATATTACACACACCTCACCCGGGAACAATATTGTGTCTGTCTCAAGGAATTCCAAAATCTTGTCAGCAAAATCCCACTTCGTTCCTCTGGCTGGGTTATCCAATACAGTGTTAGAAAGAGATGTCTGTAAAAGAAGCATTCCTCATTATTACCTTCACCTTCATTCAGCACACAAGGTAAAACACTATACATTTTCAACTTTGGATGTAATATAATCACAAAGACAAGCTGAATCCTTTCTTTAAATTTCCTGACTCTAAAAACATTCCTAACATTTTATTTAGATAGAGAACAAAATATAACCACCAATTTTATTGATTAATTATATTTAAACCACCAAGACATACTTTGGCCTTATAAATGTCACACATCCCCCTTCCATGTACTAAATACAAGGAAAACAAAGTGATATAATAATTTGACAATACTTTATCTTTTAACCCCTTGGTGCCGGGTGACACCGATCGGCATGTACACAAAGAGCTTGAAAGCTGGCGTGCAGCCGAACGAGCCGGCGGCGCGCCAAAGCGCGGCGAGCCAGTGATTCGGGCTGATGTCCCCTACTCACGCGCTCAAAGTCGGCGCGCCGCCTTTGTTTGTTTAAGCGTAGAGTTTTTTTTTTCTTTTGTACACCCGGCGCCATTGGGTTAAAGCTTCTGAAACGCTCTTCCCCAGATTCCACTAAAGCAAAAGACCTCACACAGTAACAGCAGATTATAACCCTTCACATCTACGAAAAGCTAACTAGGGGAACTGCATTAACTTTCTTTACAATTAATTCTAAGAACACTTATACCTGTTACTCAAACCAATAACCACTAAAGAAACATTCTGACAATAATTCCTGGAATTTCTTGACAGAGAAACATACAAGTATTACAGCAATACTTCTTAATTACTATGTACATCTTAAACACATGGCAACAAGCAACATACTACATACACAGAAGTAAATATCCAACATGATAAACTGGATGATTCAAGACAACCATCTTCAATCATCTTATTAATCTCCTCAGGCAGACCTGAGGTTGTCATTTGTAGTCTAACAGGGAAACCTATCCTTCTCAATGGCACAAGTTTTTGTGCTCATACTAGGTGTAAATGAGTTACTTTTGGCTTTTTCACTGATTTCTATAGACTATATCACTGAGAAGTCTCATTTTGGTCTGTGAAATGTAC